TCGATATCCATGGTGTGTCGTGTTGCATCGGCAATGGCGATTTGCCCATCGCCGGTCGGCAGATTTTGCCTGAATGCTTTTCTGCCTGTGTGCCTCGCCTTGCTCGTGTCCGTTCGTCTTGTTGTCCTCCGTGTTGCTTTTGCGCATCGCATACGCCTGCCTGTCTTTCTGTGTGCGTCCGTCTGTCTGTCTGTCTTTCCTTCTGCCTGTCTGCCTGTCTGTGCGTTCTGAAGTTTGGGGACGGCTTTTTATGCACAACACATAGAGAAGGAACGAGCACGCCAGCTCCTTTGGGTTCGTTTCGGTTCGTTTCGTCGCTTCTTTTCCCCTTTCTCGCGTGCGTGATGTGATTATGTGCGTGGGGGACCGCTTTGTTTATCTGTGTGTGTGCCTGTGTGGCTTGCCTTGTTCCCTTGTTTGTTTGTTGTGCCTGCCTTCTGTGCAGCTCTGTCTGCATGGAATGGTCGGCTGCCTGCTTTAGTGACTGTTTCCGTGTATATGTGTGTGTGGATGGATGGATGGATGTGTGGATAACCTAACCTGGGCGACAAGTGTGCGCTCGGTGAATTCTCTTCTCTTCTCATAACTTGGCCTGCAGAGAGTTGGCGCACTGACGCATACACACGTGTCATGGGGACACAAACTGTTGTCCACTTTAGACAGATACCCGTCTAAACCACTACGAGCTCTCGTCATACGAATGTGCCATCCATCCATCCATCAGTCTACCCAACACACAAGCACAGCACACAAATCAATCAGCCAGCCCTCCTGCCTTCCTCCCTCTCTTGGCGAACGCAGAGCACAGGCACCATTATGATGCACACCGACGTCACTCACTCACCCATACCATACACATCTATCGCTTATTCCCTAGCTGACTGACCCTGTCTGCCGCCTTGACCGCCCGCCCTGTCCGGGCGGCAGGGTGTCCTGCTCCTGCGGCCGGAGGGCCACCCACGCCGCCTCGCCAAACATCGGGATGAACCTGCATGTGTCGTGACATGGAGGGCACAGACACACAGAGACTCTCTGGTTTGGTGTGGTGTGTTTGGTGCGTTGGTGCGTCTTGGTGGTGGTGACTGACCTGAGCCATTTGAGGGACTCCACTCGCCTCTCTACGTCTGGGCGGCTGTGCTGCCGGGCCAGCTGCTGCAACCTGACGCGCGCACACACACACAGAGAGAGAGAGAGAGAGAGAGGGATGGTGGGTGGGGTGTATGTACTGGGGTGTCTTGGCATCTCACTCACCTGTTGCTCTCTTCCCCGATCAGCACATTCTGAAAGATGCTGTAGAGCACCAGATCAACACCTGCACCCACCCACACACACGCCATTTACGCCATCCTCTCACTCTCTCATTTCATTCTCTGTGTGTCACTGACTGCACTGACTGACCGAAAGCGAATTCAATGCGGTTGGTCTGCAGCTGGTTCAGCAGGTACCCCCACCTCTCGCCGGGCGGACCAAAGCCACCATCAGGATACGCCAAAAAGACCCTGAAAGACACTCCCACAAAACCAGACAGACAAGCATGGACCACCCCACTCCCTCTCCCTCCCTACCTCCCTCCCTCTCCCTTTGCTCACCAGCCAAGAGCGATCACGCCCACCACAAAGCCCACATAGCCCACCCACGGCTTTGTCAAAGCCTCGACGGCACCACTCATGGGCGACTTGGGGTCGCCCTCCTCGATGGCCTCGGCCAGGTTGCTTAGGGGTGAGGGGAGGGGCGTGCCGGCCCGCAGGGCCATGTAGGGGAGGAAGAAGAAGTTTGTGAGGAACATGGTGCCCACCCAGACGACGAACCGGTCAAACTTGCCCTCGCTCTTGGGGTCGCTAAACATCAACGCTGCCCCAACGAACAAACAGACAAACGACACACACACACACAGACACAGACCAGGTGGGTGCATGTGTGTGTGTGTGTGTGCGTGTGTGTGTATGTGGACACCATGCTCACTGACTGACCTGCATGGCAGAACGACCAGGCGTTAAAGAAGTTGAACACCCCAAGCGTCACGGGATGCACCATCGGCGCCGGCAGCAGCTCCAGCCCCGTCACCCCTTTCAGAATCGGCGTGATGAACCAAAAGTCCAGCGACTGCTTCAGCAAGCTCTCGAACTCAGATACGGGCGTCGCCCACGCCGGCAGGCCGGGCGCCTGCGTCCCCACCAGCAGGAAGTAGACGTACAGGCCATAGCCCAGCCACAGCGCCCCCCCGCTCTTCAGCCAACCCAGCGGCCCACTCGTCGAAGATTCGAAGCTCACCGGGCGCACCCCGGTCCCCACTGCTGCCGGCTGCTGCTGCTCGCTCTTTCCGCTCTTCTCCCTCTCCCTCTGCTCGATGTCCTTGAGGTAGTTGGGCAGCTTTGCCGCCGGCATGTCGAGCAGAGATGGGAAGCGCCCGAAAAGGCGGCTGACCAGAGAGAGGATGAAGAGGGACGTGTCGCCGGGTTTACTAGCAGGCTCCACGAGGTCTCTGCCGTACACGAGCCGCAGCCGGCCGTCCTGGCACCGCTTGCAGCGGTAGAAGCTGGCGCCACGGGTGTTGGGGAACGACCTGCGGGCGAATGGTATGGTATGCCGTGAGTTCAAAGGAAGGAGCCAATTCATTGATGGAGCGGTTGCTCAGCAGGAGCTCTGGACAGCGTACCTGCCTTGAATTTCCACGTGCCACGCCACGCCCGTGAATTGCTCGTCGCCCCGGGAGATGCCGTCGACAACGAACTGGACGGATGGCGGCACACGGTCACGGACGCGCTCCAAGTGACGCCTTGCTAGCCACACACACAGACACACAGAGGATAGCCGCCTCTCTCTTTCTCTCTCCCTTGTTGGCTCACTTGAACGAGTCTCTGTCCCGAAATGCGTCCGGGTAGACAAGATCCTCGTAGATCCCATCCTCAGCGAATTGATCTGCGGCCACGTCCATCTCTCGCCGATTCCACGCCTCAAAATACCGCATAGCCACGTCAGCGCAGTCCTCACAATCACCCGGCTGCGCCCCCCCTGCAGCATCGCTGAGCATCACCCCGCCCTCTGCTGCTGCTGACCTCCTCTTCGGTGGTCCCGGGCGGGCGACAGACGAGGGCGGGATGAACGTCAGGTAGGAAGTGCTGCGATGAGTCGCGGTGAAGCATGGCAATAGAGCCAATGCTGCAAGCGTCAAGAGGAGCATTCGTCGAGATGCTGCAGGTGAGAGCAGTGGACCCGCACCACTGCAGATCTGGTCGACCAGATATGGGCTGCCGGGTGGCTGATATGCGTGTGTGCTGTCAGGGAACGCACTCACAAGGCACCGAGGAGAAGAAGGCCGAGCAGATCTCCTTCGCAGTCCGGAAAGGTCGCGAGCTTTTACCCTGGGGTTTCCAACAAAGGCTCGGAGGACGCTCGGCTCTCTACCAGAAGCAGCATTGAGCCGTACAAAGAACAAAGACCCGTCCTCTCCACCGGAAAGCAGAGCCCCACGAGAACTTGAGTTCGTTCACTTGTTTGTTCAACTGACTAAGTTTGCACCGCTGGCTTCTCATTGACGCCTGACGAGTGCCAATCGCTCCTCTCATCCCCTTCATAGCTGCATGCAGCATCGCTATCATCATGGAGCCCAGCCCCACAAGCCCCGTATCGGACACTGACCAGACGACGGCCTCCCAGCACCCTACCACCCGCCACCCAACCCGTGAAGCCCCACCCAACATTGCAGATGCCGCCCAGCTGGTGTGGCGGCAGCGGAGCGGCAGCATGGGACGGGGTGGACAGCCTTCCCGGACGTCTGGTGCTCTGAGTGGAGGGACGGAAGGGGCGCCGGGCGACAGCGAGAGGACGCCACTCATGGGTGAGGGAATGAGCGAATGAGTCAGGGAGGGAGGGAGGGAGGGAGGGAGGGAGAAGCAAGACGATCAGTGAGTCACACAGACAGACATTGTGTGTGATGGCTGGTTTATGTGTGCAGGTGGTCGTCCCTCCAAGGGCGAGGGCCTGCCCACCACCATGACCCCCAGCCCCACCACACACGCGGCTCGTGTGGGCTACCGCCTGCGCAAGGGCGGCAGCAGCACCGAGCAGCTGCTCGCCATGAGCCGCGCCAAGCGCCTCGGTCTAATGGTGTGGCTGACGTGCTTCAACATGCCCTATGGCTTCGCGTACGCCACCCTGGCGCTCTACGTGTTGCCGGCCGAGGCGGTGCGGCTCTGGCCGCAGCAGGAGTCGCTCTTCCTCGGCCTCAGCGTGACGATGATCGGCCTCACACAGTTTCTCTCCCCGGTGTTCGGGACCATCTCGGACAGATACTACTCGCCGTTCGGCAAAAGACGGCCGTTCATCTTCATAGGTACACACAAGAGGAGGGCCCATCCGCGCTTATGTGTCTGTCTGTGTCTATCATTCCGCCTCTCTCTCTCTGTCTCTGCCTCTGTGTCTGCGAGTGATCAGGCGGGCTGCTGACGGCTGCGTGTTTTCTGGGTATGTGGTTTGCGAGCCTGATGTACATGAGGGTGCTGTGGCTGGTGTTCCTCTCGCTCATGTCGGGGTGCTCCAACATCATCTACTCGGCGCAGACCGGCCTCATCCCCGACCAGCTGCCCGACGAACAAAGCCAGGGCACCTCCTCAGGCATCGTAGCCGTCCACCTCCTTACCGGATCCACTCTCGGTTAGTTCGTCTGTGAGCAAATCAAATCAGCAAACACACGGCCCCGATGCATCTCTCACGTGTGTGCGTCGTGTGTGTGTGTGTGTGTGCGTGTGTGTGTGTCAGGTTCCCTCTTTGTGGGCTACACGAAGAATATGGACTTCCACGTGCTGTATTTCGTCTACACGGTGATGATCTTCGTCTCGTGCGTGCTGGTGTGCCTGGCGGCCATCGAGGACTACAGCGAGGCCTGGCCGAGGGGACCGTGCCTGCTGCCAGCGGACATCACCTGCAGGGACATCCTCAAATCGTTCGTCATCGACCGCAATGCACACCCAGACTTCTTCTGGATCTTCGTGGCCAGGTGGGTGAGAGTTGGAGATCGAGACACGGGCATGAGGGAAAGGTGCTGCTGTGCTGGTTGTGTGTTGTGGTGCTATCTGTTGTGGCGCAGGACGCTCTACTATCTGGCCATCAGTGGGCAGAGCTTCATTTTGTATTACCTACGAGACGTGATCGGGACGACGGACGAGCCGACGCGCAAGTTCCAGATATCAGTCATCGCCCTACTCGGACAGGCACACACACACAGAGAGAGAGAGAGAGAGAGAGAAAAGAAGAGAAACACAGAGAGGCACATGGAGAATGGATGTGTGTGTGTGTGTGTGTGTCCTGTGTGTGTAGATGGCGGCAGCAGCTGTGGCCTTCCCCGCCGGCTATCTGAGCGAGTACTCCGGCCGGAAGATCCTGGTCTACTTCGCCTGCTTCCTCATGTCGCTCACCTGGGTCATTTTCCTCGTCCTGCCATGGGTACCCTACCGCCCCACCCTGCACACACAAATGACAGACACACCATGACCATGACACACCAGACTGACTGACCTGACGGGGGCATGGCATGCTCTGTGTGTCATTCATATGCCTTCAGACGACGGACGAACACAGTGCCTTGGTTGCGTCGATCTTCGTGTGTGCGGTGGTCTACGGCGTGGGCAACGGCGCATACCTCTCTGTCGACTTGGCGCTCGCACTCGACTGCTTGCCGGACAGGAAGACGGCAGCAAAGGACCTCGGTGAGTGAGCAAATGGGACACAAAACAACACAGCCAAGGGCAAAGCGAGTGACAGACACCTGTCTGTCTCTGTGTGTGAAGGTATATGGGGAGTGAGCGCCTTCATCGGCAGTACGATCGGTCCGCTCATCGAGGGCCTGGCGCTGCAGCTCATCGGCATGGGCGGCATCGTGGGCCCACAGCGGATTGCCTACGCCCACTTTTCTTACGCCGGATACGTCGCAGGTCTGTCTGTCTGAAAGCTGCACACTCACAAGACTCACGAGGAAGGGATTCCCTCATGGACGGACACGTTCTCTCTCCCTCTCTGCGATATGTGTGTGTGTGTGTGTGTGTGTGCAGTGCTGGGTTTTTCATCCTTCACGATGTCTCTGTCTGGGTGGTTCATCAGTTTTGTCAAGCAGGCCCGCTGACCGAGCCAAGCAGGCAGGCAGGCACACCAGCGAGCAAAAGGATGTGTGTGTGTGTGTGTGTGAAGAGGGAGGGATCTGCGTGTGTGCGCTTAATGGAGGGATGGGTGGGTGCGCCTTGCCAATGCCATGTCCGAGTTCCACTATCCATCGCGACACTTCCAAGTGTGACACATATGTGTGTGCATGGAGAGAAACAAGGGAACTGATGGCGACACACACACACACACATAAAAAACATCATTGGAACTGACAGGTGGATGGATGGACTCACGAGTCGGGGGATTACCGAACCGAACGGCGAACAAACAGACAGACATTGAACACGCAGCACAACCCCCCCGGGCCACCCAACCCCCCACAGCTTTCCTTCCCAACAACACACACACACATAAATCCACACGCACACTCACACACACACACACACAGGTCACTCACTTTTTCTTTTGCGCATGTACAACTGCCATGAGTCTGTCCTGCTGCTCCTTGATGGAGTAGTTGGGCGTCTCCATGTTGTACATCCGCATCACCTCCACACCGCCATGGTCGTCGCCTGCCACCAACACCGGGCTGTTCAACGCGAAACGAACCGCTGTTCGCCGACGGTTCTCACGGCCCTGCCCATGGCACGGAGAGAGGAGGCGGCGGCGGAGAGTGGTGTCTGTGTCTGTCTGTGTGTGTGTTTGTGTGGATGGCTGGTGTGTGTGGTGTGTGGTTGGTTACTTACGTGTGCTTTGCCGGGGTAGTGGACCACCATGGGGTCGAGGATGTGCATCGACAGATCCCACACCTCCACACGACCGTCCGACTGACCCCAGACACACACACAGGGAGGGCAGCGGGAGGGAGGGAGGGAGACACACACACACACACATATACACATACAAGCGCACGCACGCGTATGGGTCTAAGAAGGGAGACGCACCATGGCAGCCGCGAATGCTGTGGCGTTGTGCGGCGACCATGTCAGCCCATTCACGGCGTCAAACAAATCCGTCGACTGCACACAACACACAGCAAGCGCATGTGACACACAGACAGATGCTAAAACAAGAACACCTGGAAGGTGGCGACAGGCCCCTCAGTGTGTTTGAGCGTCCACAGCTTGATGGTCCAGTCGGCGGAGCAGCTGAGAAACGCCTCAGGCCAGAAGTCGTTGAACCGCACCCGATACACAGGACCTGATTACACACACACAGACAGATGGATGGATGCCATATGAGGGGGTGGGTCTCTCTCTCTTCAAAACACGGGGGGGGCATTTGCATTTTCCTGACTCACCGCTGTGTCCGTAGTAGGTGTCGAGGTACTGCTCGTTGTAGGATGTGGAGCACCTGTGGATGAGCCCGTCCTCGGTGCCGATCAGGTAGGTCGACGAGTCGCCCCGCGGGAAGTCCATGCACATCCCGCTCGCCTGGCGAAATATCACCCCTGCCAACACCAAATACACCCAGCATATGGTACAGTGGATGGATGGATGGCTGCGGGCCGGACCTTCCTTGACATTGGTGCCTCCGAGTCTTGGGTTGGACAGGCGCTTGAGCGCCATAAGCAGGGACTGCTCGAGGCCCTTCTTGAGCTTCCACTGGTACACCCGGCCGTCAGACGATACCGAGGCCAGAAACTCGCGGGGCACTTTGTCAGCACCCTGGTCAACCCACCTGCACATGTGTGTGGAAGTGTGTGTGAGATGCAATCGGTGGTTTCTCATGTGTGTCTCTGTCTCTGTGTGTGTGTCTCTGTCTCTGTGTGGTTTACTTGAGGTCCCATACGACGTCGGTGTGTTTTCTGTCGCTGTTGGCCGATATCGACGCGCCGCTCTCCAATATGGGCTGGTCCTGCGGACGACTGACGGGAGAGGCAGGCAGGGAGGGAGGATGGATCGTGTGTTACGTGAAGGTGAGGTGAGCATACCGTAGGTCCCAGATGGCGACGGTGCCGTCGTGCGTGCCGGCGGCCACCAGATTGGGATGCACAGACGAGAAGTGAAGACCCGTCACGCCCGTCTTGGTCCTGATATACACACACACGTTCGCGTGCACATGATTCACAGGTGTAACACTGCCTGGCGTGGCGTGTGCTCACTTGAGGACTCGTTCGGGGTAGGTGGGGTTCTTGAGTGACCAGAAGAGCACCAGGCCGTCCAGCCCCTCGGTCGGCACCGCTGACATCTCCCCGTAGCCCACCGCCAACAGATCCTACACACACACACACACAGATGTATACGCATCAAGACATAGAGACATGCGTATGTATGTATGTGTGTGTACCTGGTTTGCAACATTCCATTCGGCACACGTGACTGACATATCCCTGCACACACAAAGTGAGTGAATACATTAGAGAACCAGCCTCCATCCATCCATCCATTCCATCCCGGGTCTCTCACTTAGTGAGGTTGGGGCACTCGAAGCAAAACAGGTCCTCCAGTCTCGGCGCGCTCTGGTCCACCTTCCCCCCACCATGCGCCTCCTCCCCCTCCACATCTTCCTCCCCCTCCTCATGCTCCCCCCCGCCCCCATTGGCCTCCCTCTCCCTCTCGGCTGCGGCGTCCCTGGCAGCCACCACGCCGCTTTTCTCGAGGCGGGTCGATCGACGTCTGTTGGCGGCCGCCATGGAAGAGGCGAAGTCCTTCTCGCAGGCCTCTTCGATGGACTGCAGCTCCTCTAGTGTGGGGTAGTTGCTGCGTGCGTAGATGAAGAGGGGAAAGGTGTGTGGGAGGTTGATGGGCGTGTGTGTGTGTAGCTACTGACCGATAGATCATGTGTGCGTCGTGGAAGACGTTTTGGCTCACAATGCGTTCCATGACCCGAAGGGCCTCGTTCAGCTCAGCCGGAACGACCTCGTCGGCACCTGCATGCACAAACAAACGCATTGCATTCCCGTCTCTCTGCCATATGTTATGTGCCATCCGACTCACCGACGAGCCACGGCATTGCGTCCTGTTCCTTGAGGGGTAAGTCCGATGCGGCGTCGTCCTTGTCCGTCCCCTCGCCCTCCTTGATGGCCTTCTTCCGCTGCTGCTCGGGGGTGTCCGATACACCCGCCTCGCTGGGCGGCTTCTGCGACCCTGACGAGACGCTCACACGGTCCAAGCCCTGCTGCTGCTGCTGCTGCTGTCGGCTGGCCTTGGTGAAGGACGCTTTGGGCACCGTCAGAGACATACCACTCTCTCTGAGCAGACAGACAGACAGACGGGGAGAGGGATTGACGAGACGGCCATAGTGGTGCGTGCTCACTTAGAGATTCTCTGTGCCGATAGCGTGGCGCTGAGCGGTCCCTGCGGCCCGCCCTTCTCGTGTTTGTGCAGCCTCGTGCCCAGCCTAGGGCCCTCTGCGGGCTGCGCATTGACGTCTACCAGAGTCCCGGGCTTGCTGATGGACTTGCTCATGAGATCTGAGGCGTCACTCTGGTACGCCATCTGCAGCTCTTCGTGTCTACATTACAAGACACAGAGAGGGAGGATGAGATGGGATACGGCCCACCGGCAAGACATGCATTGCATCTGGCGGCCCACTTTGGGACAGGGTCCTGGGCAAAGGCGTTGAAGATTTCAAAGGGTGAGGCGGTGACGCCCACTGCTGTGGCGTGTGGGGGCGCGGCCATGACTTCCTTGACCTTCTGTGGGAGGTTGAGAGTCTGGCAGTGGTGGTCGTTGAACTTGTCCGCGTCCTCATGAGACTTGATCAGCTCGTCATACACTGCCCAGACACAGACAGACAGACAGACAGCGAGGGGGAGGACCATGGACACATGACGCAGAAAGATGTGTCTCGCCCACCTTTGTTTCTGCTAGACACGACGGAGTATTCCTCAGAGTCGAGCGCCACGCACAGGCTGGGCTGGTGGAAGAACGTCATGGTGGGTGTCTCCTCCAGCACGATGGCGACGGGTTTCTCCAGCTCTTCGGGCGACAGTCCCGCCCGCTCCCTGGTCTTGTCCTTGGGCCGCTCCTTGGTGGTCAGGAAGGCCATCGACAGACCCTTTGGCTCCCCTGGCAGACCCTCGTCCAGCTCGGCCAAATCCTCACCCACATCACCTGCATGACGAAAAACAGACAGACAGACAGACAGACACACAGAGACACAGACACAGACACATATCTACAAGTCCATGCATTCATCGGGTCTTACCAAGTGTCCTTTCCTTGTCAATGTCAGGCGTCGTCAACTCCCCCGCCGCATGCGCAAAGGCCACCAGACTCCTGGGCGTGACGTCCTTCCCATTCAGCACCACGCGCACCTCACCTCCCCCGGCGGCATCGGTGCTAGACGACTTCATCTTGCTCCTGCTCAGTGTGGACGAGCCGCCCGCCCCGAGCGTCTTGGACGACCCGGCACCGAGGCGCGTCTTGCTCGAGATGGCCGGCAGTGTCGATGGCGCCTGCCGATCCGGGCGTCCCCGGAGGGATGACTGGCTCGGAACACCACTGGGCTGCGACATTCTTGGCGCGAGGGGGAAGGAGGAAAGCAGGCGAGGTTGAGACTGCGTCACCTTAGCCCCCATCTGGGGGCGTCCGGAGTTCACATGGCTGCCGTCGAGGAGTGGATATTGGCTTTGGCCGCTTCGTTCTACGTGCTCCATCCTGTGCTGCCGAGTTCCTGGCTGCCCGAGGCCAGGCTCTTCGTTGTCGTGACGTTTGGAGGCGTGCTGGCCTTCCTGCTGGATGGGCTGCTGGATGGAAGCTCCCAATGGCCTGCAATGCTCACATGGGTGAGGAGGAATGAGGCGTAAGAGAGCGAGCGATTGGTTCCGTTGTGTACGACTCGTCTCGTTCAGGTTGGTCTGAGTGCGGGGATGTTCTTGTGCGGACAGCTGCTGCGGTGGGTGAAGACACGATTCCTATCTTCGTATGAGTCGAACAGGGTGGCCGGGATGCCATGCATTCACCATAAAACCACCGCATCAACGGCAACACAGGTAGTAATGGATAGATAAATTGGATATCATCATTTCCTGTCAGTCATTGAGCTCTTTCGTGTTCTTGCTTTCAGACCGATGCCGTCAGCCGCACTCACTCGATGGTTGAAACCGGGGCTCAGACCGTCGCCATCAAAGAGGACACCCGCTCCATCACTCCCAAGCCAGCCGGCCCCCGCCCTCCCATCCGTCTCAACGCTGACGTGCTGCCCAAGAATGACACCGCCCCTGCAGCTGCTGCCGGTGCGGGCCCCTCCTCGCCCCGCTTCCCCTTCCCTGCGTCCAAACCGACAGCAGCCGTCCCTGCCCGTGCCAGATATAGTGCGCCGATGGACTGCGCGGAGGTGTGGACGACCATCTTCTGCTACGTGGCAGGAAATCTCAGAACACTCAGGAGCATTCTGAGGGTGTGCATGGCATTCAACACGGCTGCCGATAGGTGAGGAGGCACACATTCGCATTCACCACAAACTGCTCGTTGTCGCCATGTCTGTGTGTCTTTCTTGTTGTGTTTTGGTCAGTGGTATGGTGTGGGCGGAGGCGGACCGTGTGTGTGGGAGTAGGCTGGCCTTCTGGATGAGGGAGGAAGGACAGGGGGCCAAGGAGAGGCTCAGGAGGCTCATACCAATGACAAAGGAGGACCGATTCATCGAGTTCATGGTAAGCAGACACGTCTCATCCGCGTGTACGGACGGTATCGTTTCCTTCTCTGGTGGTGTCTGTCTATCATCAGGGGCTCGGGTATCTGTTCCCCAACAACCGCCCCTGCAGCGGGTCGCGCGCGGCCTGGTGCAAGGGGCGGCTTTGTTATCTGTTTCAGAACTTCCACGTCATGTGCCAGTACCCGTCCGTTCCCAGACCCATACCCATGTGCTCCTTTGAGGCAAGACAGACAACACACAACACAACACAACACAACACAGCACAATGCACATACACCAGATAACGATCATGCCGTGTTGCATACAGGAGGCATACAGAGCGGTGCATTCTCTGATGGAGCGTGGCTTTGTGTTGGCGACATACGAGCTGTTCAAGAAGCTGACCTTCCTCAACCTGAGCTACCGCCGAAAAGAGCAGGATCCGGTGCAGCAGATCCGCGCACTCAACCCCGACAAGCGACAGGTACACGCACCAAGATCCCTTGTTCTCGACCAACCGCTGGCATTGGTGTGGTTTCTTTGCTGTTGCTGGTTCATTCAGTTGCGTGGCGAGGGTGGGTGGTCTGGCCAGGGGTTTCAGCCGGTGCCGATCGACAAGGCGGCGAAGGCAAGATACGACGCCATGCAGAAGGACTACCACAGCGTGTTTATGTGCGTGCGGGACGCCTTCATGCCCCTCAGCCGCCACATGGGCCGGTCAGCCACACAGAAACCCACACACATACTTGTCCTGCCATCCATGTCTCTCCCTCTCTGTGCGTGTCTGTGCTGTGCACCATGCAGTTTGGAGCCCGTGTGCGGAAGGCCCTATATGGTGCAGTTTGAAGACCTGGAGCAGCAGATATGGGAGGGCCTTGTGTCGCTGCCCCGCCTGCCCCACACCATCAACCTGCCCATCGACGGGGCGACAGGGGGACAACGCACGGCCATCCGCACGCCCTGGGCTGACGAGGAAGACTGACTGATGCGCAGAGGCAGGGTGTGAAGTGCGGGAGCCTTCGGGATGCCAATGCTGTGTAACATAGCAGCTCTCTGTGCATGCCTGGTGGCGGAGGGAGTGTGTGGCTGGAGTTTGTTTGAAGGACACGGGGACACTGGGTGAATGTGGACTCTTGTGTGGATGTGTGCGAGCAACGTGGGTTTAAAGATGATGCGCACCGCGAGAGAGACGCGATGAGTGCCAAACGACCGTCTACATGAAATGTAGAGTAGAAATAGACCTTGTTTCTCCCTCCCTCCAACCCACTACCGCGAAATACATCCATACCTTTCCCCTTCCCTTTAGAAGTGAATGTCGAACTCCTCCATATCCTCATCCCACTCCTCATCATCCCCCTCACGCTCCGGCGCCACCTGCGGCTGCTGCTGCGGCTGCTGCTTCACCCTATCTCTCTCTGCTAGCAAATCGAGCAGGTCATCCATCGTCGTCCGTTGAGGCTTTAAAAAGGCCCCTGCCCACCCCGCAACAGTCCGCGGATCCAGATTGGCCAGGTAATCGTCCACGGCGGATGATGGCTTCTGCGGTGCCGATATCGTGATGGGACCACGACGCTTGGTCTTCCTGTCTGTCGGAACAAACAAGGAAAGGGGGACACGTGGAGGCCATCCCGCTTCCTGGCTGGCTGTTGGCTTGGCTTACATGGCTGCTCTAGAGCTGCCAGTGCCTTGTGGTGGTGATCAAGTGCTTTGTCGACTGCGGAGAGCGCCAGGGATGTCACGGTGGTGGCAGCGTCGATGGACGCCTGTGTGGCACTTATGATGCTGCTTGTCTGCTTGAGGGAGTGCTGGAGAAGAGAGATCTCATTAGCTATGGATGCAATATGCGCTGCCGGAACACACGACAGAGGTCCTTCGAGCATGGGGCCTCTCTGTTGGCGGCTGCACGTGGTACCTCGCTGAGTGTCCTTTCCGCCTTCCGTCTGGACGAAGGCACCGTCACAACCTTCCCACAAGATCACATCCGTCCATTCATGCATCCATTCACACTTGCTGCGCTGCGTTGCAACATGGCTTACCGTGGTGGATATGTGCGTTCCCATGTGTGTCATACCCACCTGCACACGCCACACACATCGCGCTCTGCATCCGTCGGATGTTTCTGCTGCTCCCAAGATTTTACCTCCATACTTGGGATGGGAGCCTCCACCATTCCATGCGCCAGCAGTGAATATTAACACAGCAAACGCCACGAGCATCATCGCAGCCTACTAGTTAAAATTTACGCTGTTTTGTCGCAGCATCGCTTTCGATCGCTATACGTATCTCTGTGTGAGAGTGAGTATACATATGTTAACGTTTGAGATGCCGACGCCCACGCCGCCAACATGTTCGCCAAGGTGAAGGAAGGCCAAGCCACAGGTGAAAAAATGCGTCCAGCAACAGATGATGCATCCATCTATTCGATGAGTCCATCCATCCATGCATCCGTTTGTTTGTCTGTGTGTTTGTCATTTGTTGCTGCAGGTGGTTTTTCGTTGCTCTTGTCGTCATCTGGTGCGTCGTCGTCTGGCGGCGGGCTGTTCGGCAGCAAACCGTCCTCGCCCTTCGGAAACACAAACAGCAGCAGCCGCAGCAAGGCAAACACAGGTCTGCCATGAGAAGCAATGGTCACCACCACACCATCACCGCTCTTTTTTCTTCGTTGCTTCGTTGCTTGTGTCAGATTCGTCATGTGGCGGCTCAGTTCTCTCTTCTTCGGCCTTCGCAAGAACACCAACAAGTACCTCACAGACAGCACCATTACTGTACCATCATCATGTCATCCGGTTGCATCAATGCCCGTGTGTCGTCGTTTGTTCACAGGGCGATACTTCAGGCGGTAACACAAAACAGAGAAAGAGACCTACCCGAGACACAACATGCCTCTGGTTCATTCATTCATTTCGGTGTGCGCGTGTGTGTGTTCAGGATTCTTCGCAGCTGGAAGCGGCGGCTCACTCTTCGCAGCTCTCCGCGCCCAGCATCAGCAGCAGCAAGGCCCTTCAGACTCATCATCAGACGCAAATGGTGACCACACCACCACAGCCTCACATCGCGGCAGTGGCGGTGGAGGGCTGTTCGGGGCGGCGTTCGGAGGGGGGTTCGGCAACTCGAAGCTCTTCAGCGGAGGAGGAGGGGGAGGGGGGATGGTGGGTGAGAGTAAGCAGGCGCTCTTCGGCGGCCAGCGGCAGACGAACACCGGCGACAGCTGTGACAAGGACGACAAGTCGACATCCGACCAGACCGTGCAGCAGAAGCAGCAGAGCGCGGACGGCCTCTCTGCTCAGAGTGGAGGATCAGGCACGTGGACAGGACAAAACTAGCCCCACACTCATGCACCACGACCCCTTCTCTCTGTGTATGCCTTTTTGTCAGGTTTGTCGTTTCTGTCGAGGCCGCCGGCTGCAGTGGACGACGCAACAGACAAACACAATGACGACACACATGAGGGGTAAATCAAGGCGACACATATCTTACACACATTTGTGGAACGATCCATCTGTCCTCTTCTGTTTTCATTGTCAGTATGTTTGTGATGCACGAGGGCGAGTCGGCTGCCGCACACGCCATGACCGACCACCGCCAAAACCAACATGAGAGACACGATACTGGTGGAATGGAGGCAGAGAAAGGCGCCTCGAAGGGTGCTGTGTATTCCATTTTGTGCTGTTTGTGTGTCACACAGATGCCATAGGCGGTTCTGCTGGCGGCGAAGGTGCGGTGGCTGCGACGGAGATGACGACAGATGAGGGCACCAACCAGGAGGACGACAATAAGGACAACTCTACGACAGGTCAGCGCACACACGGAGACACACACTCGCCTTGAAACACTGCCTTTGTTCATTGCGCTTCAGACGGTATGGATGTGTGTGCGTTGTCGCCGGCCAAGCGTCCGCTGGGTGATGAGCACCAACAGGAGAGCGGCGAGCCGCAGATCAAGCGACCCAAACCACCGCCCCGCCCCTCCCCATCCATCAGAGCTGCTGCTGCTGCTGTACACAAGCCGACGCCCCACCACCATCTGACCACCGAGGCGACCGGAGCGAGTCATGTGATCGCCCGTCCTAAGGTGCCGCCGCCGAGCTCACCCATCAGACCGCCCAAGACCATACGTCAGCCACCAATGAAACCGAAGGAGGAGCCCAGGGATGTGACTGCATTCTGTGTGTGTCAGTGTCGGGTGCGGCTGTGATCAATCAGCCCAAGAGGATGCCTAACAAGTTGGGTGCAGCCCCACCCCGACCCAAACACGCACACGTCGCCAAGACGTAATAACGACACCACAACATGACATGGATGGCACCCGCATGCACCCTCTCGTGTTTATGTGTGCAGTCCCACTGCTGTGCTGCCTCGTCCGACGTCTCTGCTGCTGCCGTCTCGCCCGCCATTCCCCCCTCTCCCCGCCCACACCCTCAAGAAGCCCAACACACTGCTCAAGGGCGGCAAGGCGCCGCCAGCCATCAATCGCAGCGGCCAGCAGCAGCTGAAGGGCGGGGGTGGCACGGCCACACCACAGACACCCGACACGCCAGGCATGCTGACGGGTCTGACGATCGGCCGCAATCGCAACGTGTCGTCGGCGTCGCCACTCCCCGCTCCACCGCCATCACCCAGCCACAACGTTAAGGCAGACACACACGACAACACACAAGGGGTGACCTCCATGTGTGTGTGTGTGTGCAGCGTAAGGGGCATCCGCATGCATCTGTCGGCTCTGGCGCGGCTGTGCTGTCGGCGCTGCAGAAGGCCATCACTGGCGGGCAGGACGCACACACTGGTACGAGGGAGACACACAAAGACAACAGAACAGAGACACGTTCGCTTGTGTGTCTGGCTCAGCTGAGGTGAAGGCAGCGAGTGTGGCGGCGAGCGAGCGGTCGTCTGTGCAGGGGAGTCCGCAGCCCGACACACTCTCACACGCCATCGAGAGCTTCACAAACATGCAGAAACAGGTGGGTGGGTGACACGCTTTCACAGGAGTGCATACACATCTTGCATCAGCTCAACGTGTGTGTGTGCTAGTTGAGTGTGGTGCCTACGAGTGATCGCATCAGCCAGATGGAGCAGCGGGACCAAATACTGCAGAAGACATTCCAACAATCCACCAACAAGTAAGTCACACAAAAGAGCAAACAAGTTGATGAGGATGCACACAACTATGTGTATTGCAGGGAGAACGAGACGATGTGTCAGCTGGGCAAAATCGAAAATGACATGGCACAACTGCAGGTCACAGCCCCACACACGCATACACATCCACCCACAGAGCCGACAAGACGACTGCGTCTCTCTGTGTGTGTGTGTGCATTTAGGAGTTGGCGACGGAACAGATCATGCGTCTGACTTTCATGACGATGGACTTCTTGCTGTTGCGCGACCCCTGCAGCGAAGACATGGCCATCGAGTGCATCCAACAGAGCGACCACCACCACACACACGACACCATCGCCATGTGACGGCAGACACAATGCGTGACACACAACTTACAACACATGAGAGAAAACCCATAAAGCGACACAGACAGGCAGGCAGACGGAAAGGCTCGAAAGAGACAAGTGGAGTCGTGAGGCGACATGCCCGTGCACGTGAGGTGCGTGTGAGTGCGTGTCTGTACGTGTGCGTGTGGGTTGGACTGCCAAGGCATCATATCATGCCGAGTGAGAGGACTCTTCATGGACACATGGACGTACACGGATGGATGCGATGCATGACGTGACGTGAATGCGGTCGGTGTGCGTGTGCCTTTTGAAGAGCTTACTTGGGTACATCGTCAACCTTTCATCATATGCAGATCGTTTACACGCGTCGGCAGTATGCTGGGCTGTGCTGTGAAGTCCCTGTCGGCCAGGGCCCCCTCGTCTACCCACATGCAGGCAACGAGAGGGACCTTACCGACAGCGCTTTTAGCAACAACAACAACATCAAAGGTCTGGACGCCGCGCCTCGCACACAACTGACGCCTCATCGCCGTCTGCACACACAACACAATACCGCCGGATGCAAGGCAACTCCTGTGAGCGGAGCGGGGCCTGTGTACCTTTTGGAACTGCCACGGCCTCTCTCATACGTATCTGCACACACACACACACACACACATATTGACCCATCTCTCCATTTCTCCCTCAGGTGTCTACCTGAGCCCTCGTCGTTCGAATCATCCTCAAGGAAGCTGCTGTCCATCATCTGCACAGACGCACGCACACGTGTGTGTGTGTGTGTGTGTGTGTGGCGGGTTGCTGTGGCGTACGTCAGCTTCGTGCATCTTCCGTTTGCGCTTGGCGGTTGCCATCCGGGAGTCCTCCAGTTGCTGCACACCACACACACAACAGACAGAAGGACAGACGGACGATCTCTTTGATGTGCCCCCCCACCCCCACCCCCCCACGCACTGACCTCTTCTGTCCTCTTCTGCGCGGCCTCTGCCTCCTCAGGAGTGGTCTCCATGATTGCACGGGCAGCCTGGAACGAACGCAGCCCGCATACACACAAACGAAGCACCCTGTAGCTGGCTGACGCGTCCTTCCATCGTGCGTCTCACCCACCTTGCCTTTGTTGGTCTGGGGCTTCTTGACCCTGGCAGATTGATCACAACACAACCCAGAATACAACATCAGATTCTACACAGTCTCTCTGGTGTGCGTTACAGCAGCTGGAAGTTGACTGGCGGTTTGAGGGTCAGCCGAGAGGTGGCGGGGCCGTGCAGCGCCTTGACGCCCTGCAGGACACAGGCAAGCGGCCAACACCACCCACACAATACCAAACATACGTAATGCAGCCCCCCCTCCAGATGCTTGCTCACGTCTGTGTCGTCAAAGAAGTGCAAGTGCTCCTCTCTGTGCTCCTAATTGATATCCACACACACAAAATACATGGCACTCATCTGGTCTATTTTTTCGTTGCCCGTGCCGGTGGGTTACTGTGCATAGGTATGGTTCGCTGCCGATGAAGAGCACGCACTTGCCATCTTTGTAACGCACCAGATGGGTGTTCGTCTCCCGCTACACAACCACGAAACACACACAAACATACGCATCACGTGGGTGCACGTGCCCGCACTGACGTCGCTGCCTTTCCTCGATGGTCCAGGCTCACCACGGGATTGCCCGTCTTGCTGTCCCTCAGAATCTGCCCGTTCGCATCCATCTTGAACCGCCACCTGACACACACAGTAAGCACAGCAAACACATCCACACAGGGAACCAACCGGTGGGGGTAAGCTCTCATGGTGTCACCTGATGGTTGCTTCAGGTGGGTATCTGGCGTCCATGCCGCCATAAGCAGCCTGCCTCCGGCGGCCCCACCGCGCCTGCCGCTCCTCGTCCAGCCGCTCCTTGTCGCGCTCACGAGTCTCCACAAAGGGCGTGCCCACGAACTTGACGCCAGCCGTCAGCTTCAGCGGGTTCAACTGAACGCATGAATGGATGAGTGAATGGACAGACAGATGTACAGAGGAGAGACTCGGTCGGGTGGTGATGTGATGTGGCGTACCTGTCGCTTTCGCTTAGGGAAGTCCCTGACGGGGATGTTCCTCGACACGACAGCCATCCTCGGCTCCTGCTCTCATGATGCATTCACACATGCGCACACATCATGAATCGGATCGGTATGCACCTCACCTCCTCGACCTGCATTGGGGCCATCCTCGCATAGCTCGGCTCCCTGTCGTCCTGTCCTTCGATCCCCATGTCGTCGTCCCGCTCCTGCTCCTCGCCCTGCTCGTCGACCGGCTCGGCCTCATCCTCCTCATGCTGGTCATGGTCGTCGAACAACCCCTCGTCCTCTTCTCTCGCTCCTGCTGCTGATGCTGATCCTGATGCTGCCGCTGCTGCTGCCTGCTGCTCGTCAGGTGATCTTTCCTCACTCTCGTTCTGATCTTCCTCACCAGCAGCGACACCACCGCTGGTGAAGGCTTGTGGTCTGTCATCATCTTGCTGCTGCTGCTGATCTGCCTCTTGGTCCCGGCGCTGGTCTTCATCTGCCTCTGCTTCTATTCCTACATCCGCATCAGCGTCAGCATCAGCTTCCTGGTCGGCATTGTCTTCAGCATCTGGCGCTGCGTCCTCCGGCTCGTCCGGCGCATCTGCATCTGCATGGTCCTGCGGATGCTGCTCCTCCTCGCCGCCAGGCGACTCGCCAAACACGTCACGCAACGTATCGTCGTCCATGTTTTCTCGTCCGGGGGACGGTTTCACGATGTCACCACGGGCGAGCTTTAAGACGATCTGCTTTTTGAGCTCGCAACATTGATGCCTGTCTTCCTGAAAGTTTCCTGTCGCAAAGGAGCAACAGCAGCGCGTACCTCAGCAAGAGCAGCGACTAACTCAGCAAAAGCAGCTATCAGCGGACACATCCGACGAACTTGCAGCTTCACGCGTCAAAGCTATCCGACAACAACGCAGACTCGAAGGACCATGTCGACAGCAGGTGTTCTCCTCAACCAGCCCATCGTCGCGCCAATCCGTCCCTCATCTCCCGCGGACACCACCACTCTCACCAGCACCACTTCGCACGGCTCTGACGCCTCCCCGAAGGTGGTGGACACGTCACCTCACGCCGACCACGGCTTCGCCACCCGCGCCATCCACGCAGGGCAGGAGCCTGATAGCGCCACGGGTGCTGTCATCCCGCCCATCTACATGACCAGCACCTACTCACAGGAGTGGCCGGCGCAACTCAAGGCGGGATACGACTACACCAGGGCGGGCAACCCCAACTTCGACCGGCTGGAGACACAGGTGAGGGGAGTGGGGGTGCGGGGGGAGAGATGCCGCCAACTGGACTTGTCTGTGTGTGGTGTGTGTTCTCAGATCGCTTCCATAGAGAATGCGAGATATGCGACGGTCTTCTCTGCTGGCCTGGCCGCGTTCACCGGGCTGTGTGCCAGCCTGAGGCCTGGTGATCGGGTGGTGGCCATCAAATCATTATATGGGTAAGACCACATGACACCAGATGGATGGCAGAGGACACCATTTCTGAATCGCCTGTGTGTGTGCGTGCGTGTCTGTGTGTGTAGAGGGACTTACAGGCTGCTTACCAAGGTGTTCCAGCCGATGGGCATCGTGCTGGACCTGGTGGCGGTGGGCGACTGGTCCACTCTGGCAGCCAAGCTGCCGGGCGCCAAGCTGTTCCTCTTCGAGACCCCCACCAACCCGTTGCTCGAGGTCATCGACATCCAGCGGGTGGCCAACATGTGCCGCGATGCGGGCGTCATGTCGTGCTGCGACAACACCTTCGCCACGCCCTACCTCCAGAGCCCGCTCCAATGGGGCATTGATGTGGTCATCCACAGCAGCACCAAGTACCTGGGGGGGCATTCGGACGTGGTGGGCGGAGTGCTGGTGACCAACGATAAGGCCATCAAGGAAAGGAGCGATTTCTACAGGCTGGCGATGGGCCTCAACCCGTCGCCATTCGACTGCTGGCTCGTCTCGAGGAGGTGCGTGAGGCACACGACACACGGCACTGATTGAAACCGCGCTTGGGAGACGCCTTTCTTTTGCGTGTTGTCTGTTACTAATGCAGCATCAAGACGTTGGCAGCCAGGATGGATCGCCACAGCGCCACGGGGCAGTCCTTGGCCGAGTATCTGTCCAAACACCCCCGTGTGTCGCGCGTGCACTTCCCCGGCCTCCCCAGCCACCCCGACCATAACGTGGCCGTGCGGCAGATGCCAAGGGGATACTCAGGCATGGTCTCAGCCGAGTTCAACCTCTCCCTCGAGGAGACCAAACGGCTCATATCCTCCTTCAAGGTAGGCGTGCTGACACAGACTCACCAAACAGGCGTGTGTGCATGTGTGTGGTGTTGTGTGTGTGTGTGCAGGTGATCACGTTGGCTGAGTCGTTGGGTGGGGTTGAGTCTCTGGTGGACCATCCTGCCAGCATGACGCATGCGTCCATCCCTGCAGAAGAGAGGAGGGCGATGGGACTCAACGACGGGCTTGTCAGGTCAGCACCCACACCCCGCTCGATCCATCCATCCATCCTCCTGCATGCGTGTGTATGACATGTGTCGTGTGTAGGTTCTCATTTGGTCTTGAGGATGCGCATGACCTGATGACCGACATAGAGGAGGCGCTCGCCAAAGTGCTTGCCGCTCGGGAGACCAGCAAGGACCACACCGCCACTGACGACAAAGTGTGCTAGCCCAACAACTATTATCCCACCATCCTCTCTGTCGGTCTGTACAGTAGCGTGGTGTGCATTTGCATCAATGAGTATGTGTCTGGTGTTTGTCTGTGAGGGTGTGGGGCCTGGGCGTGAGCCAGCCAGCTCTCCCTCTGACCAGTGTCTTTGTCGTTGGAAGGAATGGTCGGTGTTGTTTGCTCATATGCGCACCAAGTGCGCGTGGATTTATGTGTCGGGTAGATGGGGTGGGGGGGATACTTGTCGATGGGGCCTCAAGGCAACCAGCCAGCCATCCATCAGCTTGTGCATGTGTATGCTATGCGTGTGTGCATATGCATGTGTGTGTATGACGTATCCATCCATCCACATCATGTGTGTGTGCATGCGAGTGTATTTTTTGCACCATGAGGTAGAGAGTGTCCGTCGAGTCGATGAAGGGGAAGAGGCGAAGAGAGGAGCTCTCTTTTTCCCGGACGTGTGTATAGTGAGTGGCCCACTCATTGATTTGCTGCATACATGTGTGCTTGTCTGGACCCTCATCCGTTCAATTTTGACCTCTCATATCGAATTCACATGAATTCAATCGCGCCTCTTTCGCCTCATGCGAGCTGAAAAAGGCGGGAGCAGCGGAAGCGGCTCAATCACGGTACGAACCATCATTCCCAGCTGCGTGTCCTCGTGCCATGCCGTTGCTTCGTAATGTGATGCTTGGTTGCAGGAAGCAGACAGATCTGCAGACGATGCGGCTGCTCCTCATTCGGCACGCAGATCCAGAGTACCACGGTGATAGCATCACGCCAGAGGGGCGCAAACAGGCTGCTGCGCTGGCCGAAAGGCTCGCCGCAGAAGATCCGCCCGTCACGCGCTTGTTCTCCTCGCCAATGGGAAGAGCGAGGGCCACTGCTGAGGCGGCTGCAGCATCGCTCGGGCTGCCACTCGAGATAGAAGACTGGACAAAGGTGAGTGGGGGCACACAGATGGGATGGATGTCATGCTGAGGTGTCTGTGTGAATGGCTGTTGCATGCAGGAGCTGGTTGACTGGCCCAAGTGGATGAACTGCGATGCGCGGCCGGGAGAAGGTAAGCTAGTATGGGCGGGAAGGAAGGAGTGGCAGGCACGCACCTGTCGTTATGGTATCGATGCAGGTGGCTGGGCTATATGGGGTGAGCGAGTGCACAGCACAGGTCAGTCATGACATGATGGCATGCAGACATAGCGGGTGAGTTGGCGAGGGGGTCTGACATCCCACACACGCACGGCACGCAGTGGGAACTGCTGCATGATGGGCAGGAGATACAGAAGCTCTACCAGAACCTCTGCGAAAGGTAGGTAGGAAGGCCAGCCATCCCACGCAGGACGCAATGCAAGCCGTATATCGTTCATTTTGTCCTGTTTATTTGTTCAGGAGTGATGAGTTTTTCCGGCGTCTTGGCTTTGAGAGAGAGGAGGGATCAAAGTAGGCAAACTGAGAAAGGGCCGGTGGGTGGGTGGGTGGGTGGGTGAGCGGCCGTCACTCACTTTTCGTCTTTGGCTCTGTTTGTGTATGGGTGTCAGGTATCGCATCCTCTCGAGTGCCGCAAAGGCGCCGCATCGTCGTTCACAGGTGGCTGTGGTCTGCCACGGCGGATTCGGACTCACATGGCTCGCCCACTTGCTGCAGGTAGGGTAGGTGTGAGAAAGGAGAGCAGGAACAGCCAGCCATTGTTCTCGCTCACTGTGTATGTGTATCATTTTGTGCATCTGTGTATGTCAGTTGCCTCCTGTCGTCACCTACTCGTCCTTTTGGCTGGCCCCATCCAGTGTGACCACCATCCTGTTCGAAGAGCGAACCAAAGAATTCGCCGTGCCCAGGTCAGTCGAGTCACTGGGAAGCAACCTCTCTCTCTGTGTGTGTGGCTGTGCTGTGCAGGTGCATCGGTTTGAGCGACTTGTCGCATTGCTACAAGGCGGGGCTGTCTATACCGCTGTCGCGATACGAGAAGCCCAACGTGTGCTACGACGGCAATCGGCCGTCTGGCCTCAAGGCCAACATCTACTGACTGACTGACTGTCTACCTCTGGAGCAGATGTCTGGACTATGCATCAGAAGACTGTTTTGGGTGCATGCAGTGTTTGGTTTATGAGTGCGTGAGTGCCTTTTGTGTCGCTGCACATTTGCTCGTGCGACTGACACACTGAATGAAATGCTGCCAACATGGTCATGTGTGTCACGCTGTTGAGTGTAACGCTGAACCGTGTCTTCACACACCAAGGAAAAACGAGCTGACCTAACAAATCACGGAACCCTCTGCACGAATAACGAGCATAGCGACCTGTTGTATCGACGACGAATACACACGACTCTGAAAAAGTGACTACGCTACTGTCCGTCCCTCCCTCCCTCCCTCTCTCTCTCTCTCCCTCTTTCATGTGCACAACCACATGTATCACGCATCAGTCCATGAGCAGTCAGGCGAACACGCAGACGAGCAACCACCGGCCATTGAGAGTGCCACCCAGGCAGGTAGAGAGCACCATCAACGCATCTAGGCAGCCAAGCAGGCAGGTAGAGAGAAAGACTGAACAGCACTGCACCATAAAAAAGACTCTCACACACACAGGCACACGCACACGCACATGCACATGCACACGCCGAAAGTGTGCCTCCATCCGTCCATCCATCCGTCCGTCCCTCTCTTCCTCTCGCCCTCTTCCATGTGCACAACCACATGTGTCAAAGCAATGGGGGCGTGTCGCTGATGCATGAAGCACACTGATGGCGACTGCTGTCAGACTGGTCATGTCACGCTGTTGAGTTGAGGGCAAATAGCTCGTCTGCAAAAATGCGACCTTGAGAAAGTCAGTGGGAGACCGGGCATACACTCAGCAGACCTTCCCTCTCTCTCTCTCTCTCCCCCTCGTTATTGACTGCCACACACATCACTCATTAGTCCTTTAGTAGTCAGGCAAACAAACAGGCGAGCAACCACCGGCCATTGACAGCAAAGAGGCTCATCGATGGATAGAAAAGAACTCGACCGGACGAATCTCTCTCTCTCTCTCTCTCACACACACACACTCACGCGCCAACTGCGTGCCGACTTTGTCGAGACACGCTGTGGCGCACACCAGTGAGTAGCTAGACGAACCGCACTCCACTCGGCGCGTCTCCACCACTCCACTCGGATGGGTAGTCCGTCCCCGCACCGTGACGGCGTGAGCGCCCTTCTCCGCTGCCTTGGCGACCTCCGCGGCGCACTTGAAAAACGTCTCCCTACAACAAGTGCGACACACACCAGTCCACAATCCATCAGATGAGTCAAGGGAGCATATGCAGCATACCTTACATGATGGAGCAGGAGTTGTCGCTCTCGTAGTGATAGTGGTGGTGCACTTCCGGCGGGCGATTCTTCAGCTCCTTGTTCTCCTCCTCCAGCTTTGTGGCCTTCTCTTCCAGCTTTGCGGCCTTGTCTCCGACCTCCTTGTTCTCCTTCTCCACCCTTGCCTTCTCGGCCTCCTCCGCTCTCAGCTCGTCGTCCCCTGCCTTCACTTCGACGAGGAGACCAAGGGCAGCGACCTTGTCGAGCTGCCCATTGTTGAACTGCTTCACGATCTCATTCTTGTCACGCATCTTTTGGGGATGCGTGATGCCGGCGGCAGCCTCGGTCACCTCCTTCCTGGCCTGGTCGAAGAGATGGTTGGACCACTTGGACCCGTTGTTGCGCTTGACGATGCGGTCGATGGCGTTCATGCCGGCCTTACGAGACGGCTCGTACTGTTCGGGATACCGGTTTTCCTCTCCGTCTTCGCCGCCCATTTCCACAGCGACCACCTCTGGGAACGGTGCCTGCTCACACACACACACACAGAGAGAGAGAGAGAGAGAGAGACCATGCAAGCAACGTACCGGTGCACGATGAGATTCCTTTGTGCGTGAGCAACGTACCGTCTCAAAGGTCTGCTCGATCTTTTTTCTGGCGTCATCATCGAGGATCTTCTCCAGCTTTCGCCCCTCCTTTTTTGTGATCACGATGAGAATGCGATTCAGCACCGAGACGCCCATCTGGTTCTTGATGATCGTCATTGTTCGTTCGAAGATCTCCCCCCAGCGGCCACAGTCGGAACACACGATGATGACGTCGATGCCATGGCCATATCTCTCGGCGAGCTGTCTGTAGCCCTCACGGTGCTCTCGCGAGACGAAGAGAGCGTCGTGGCTTGTATCAAAAAACCCAGCCGTGTCTGCGACGATGGCCCACAGTCCTCTCGGCGTCTGAACCGGGAAACGGGCGTGGACGACGCCTCGCGTGGCGGACTTAGCGCCACTTTGGGGCTTGAAGCGCTCCTTGTCTCCCGTGAGGAGTCGACAAAGGGAGGTCTTGCCGTTTCCGCTGGGTCCGTTGACGACGAGGACGGTGTTGGCGGTGGGAGTGGCACTGGTACTGTCGGGAAGGGCCGATGCTCCGGGCACGCCCATGGCTCCCCACATGACGAAGCAGAGGGCGGCAACGACGAAGAGGCCGGAGGCAAGGGCATAGAGTAGCGTCGCCCACACACCGACGACGGCATAGCGCTGCGCCTTGAGGTCAGCTCGCTGCCGCTTGCCCCATCCATACTCGCGGATGGTGTCGCAGATGGCGTAGATGTACAGGTAGATCATTGCACAGAAGGCCAGACAGGGCAGGGTGGAGGGGGGGAGGATGGCGCTGGGGAGGCCATAGCGCCCCACGAAGCCGCTGAGCAGGCTGAAAGAGCAAACTGCCTTCAACAGCGCCTTCATGACCGCTTTCTTGACAGTGAGAAGAGAGATCGCCGATCTTCATGGCCGCTTCTCAAATCAATCAGGGAATTCCTTTCGAGCCGAAAACAAATGAGTTAGGAAAGGTAAAACGAATCCTATGCGAGCTTGAGAAGGAGGAAAGATGGCCTAGGAGGAGCTTATTGAGGATCAGGTTCAAGTTGTCAAGAGGGAGTTGGAAAAGTACATCCGGAAGAAGTGGGGACGTGGCATCTTCAACATCGAAGAGGCATCTGCCATCAAGGATGACCCTGCTGCTGGCGTGTTGTACGTGGGGGATGCCGAACATCCATTCGACGTGGTTGCAGCTGCTGTGGAAGTGCCGCTTGTCATCCCTGCCAACACCGACCTCGCCGCATTGCTTCTCAAGCGGCTGGCTTCGATGGCGTATGGGTGCGCTTCTTTGAGCACAACTGGATGCAGAACAAGGCATATCGTGAGCAGACACACACACACACACACACAGAGAGAGAGAGAGAGGGGTATGTGTGTGTGGGCTACTGTTGCGTGTGCAGACAGCTTTGATAGACGACTGCGAGTTGTGGAGTATCACGCCACGCCGCCCGATTACACCTTCCAGAAGCCCACAGCGAAACGGGGGCGACCGCCGATCGACTTCCAGTGCGCTCTGAGGCCGGCAAATGTCCTTCGTCGAGGCGGTGTGCGCATGGTGTGGGGGTACGAGTACGCGCCTGGGAAAAGCCAAGAGCTGATGAAGCTGGACAGGTGCCTCCGCTGCAAGTCCTTCTACTGGCGCAGCGAGAGGCCACCGGTCGAGAAAAAGAAGCCGGGGGAGGAGAAGAGGCGTCCCTGCAAATGCCAAGACGCTGATGGACAGGTATAAAGCAATGAGGAACACCTCTGCAGCCGCCCTGCAACTTCTTCTGGTCACCCCTCAGGCTCAAAAAGTGGATGTCACTCAGGCAGCCGCCGCCGCCACACCACCACCACCATCACCATCACCACCTGCTGCTGCTGCTGCTGCTTCCGCTACAGCTGCTGTTGCTGCTCCTAAGGCTCAACGAGGCAGGTGTGCTAAGCCGGCGCGCAAACTGACAGACATCATGGCATGCACTGACCGTCTTTTGTCAGAAACGGCACAAGGGAGACGCCTCTGCGGAGCAGCAGCCGTCCGAGCAGCAGCCGTCATTCCTCCAGTCACTCTCCTGGCGCCGTCTCTTTGAGCTCTTCTCCATCCGCCGGCGGCCTCCGCATGAGCTGGATTCCGCTGAGCTGATGATTCTCCTATCGAGCGAAATTCAGACAATGCAGCTCGTCAGCCGACCTGCAAACCCGCCGTGCAATCCCTCCTCGCCTGGTGAGTCGTGCGAGCATCGGGGGGTTGTCGTCACGCTGGTCGACAGCGACGTCGAGATACGATACGGCGACAAGGGATGGCTCATCCACAAGGGGGAGCGTTACGGCTTCACGGAGGGCGACACGATCGTCAGAAGTGTGATCGGGCTCAAGAAGAACCGTTGGAACTTTCGTGGTGAGGTGCATCAGGCTGTGAGAGGCGTCAGCGTGGGGGACTTGAGAACAGAGGGCGGGACGAAGTTCGATTTCGAGACGGACAACTGCCACCATGCCGTCGAGCGGATGATGGCAAAAGCTCTCGGTAAGAAGCATGATAAGCACTTATCACCCGATTGTCATGTCAGGGCCGTCTCGTGAGGCGATGGACGTGTCTGGTTAGATGCGACGTATGCGTGGCACCTTCTGTCTGACCTCATCCCTTCATGCTTGTTGCTCCCCTCTGTCTGATCCACTCATGCACTTATATGACGGATTGATTTATCATACTGATCAATGGTCGTCTCTTGTGCACGCATCGGCTGCATGTCCATATATGGCTCTTTGTCGTGTTTTTAGCAGTGTTTTCTCACTAGCCGTCTGTGCGCTGTGAGATGACTCCAAGACGAATCAAAATGCGTGTGGCGTGAATTTATTAATGCTGTTGTCACCTTCAGTGGTTCAACGGTTTGAAGCGCGCGAAGACGTGTTTTGTTCATCAATGTAGAGGCCAAGGGAAACGAAATCGGACACCCGGGTTGCTCCGTGCCCGTTTCCTTTTCCTCGCCGAGGCGAGCTTGAGATCTTTGTGCTGGCCACGCCACCATAGAATGAAGGGACGGCACATCATGGCCTCCAATCCATAAACGACTGATGGAGGCTGGAAAGCGCAAGCGAGCAGAAGGTGATGAGGGACCGCAGCAGCAGCCACGGGCAGAGGAGGAGGAGCTGCCGGAGGAGGGAGAGAAGTCATCCTCGTCCAAGAAGGCCAAATTCGGACAGACCACGGCGGACGCTGCGGCAGCGGGTCACGAAATGACGTCGGCTCTCCGGCTGGCCCATCTGCAGTACCTCGGTGTCGCGCACCGCCTGAAGCAGCTGCAGGACATGGTGAGTGAGAAGAAGGGAGTGAAGAAGCACAGAGTGGGGATATGGATCTTGCTGTTTGGTGGTTATCACCTGCCTGCAGGTGTGTGAGGTGTTGAAGCTCAAGGGAGAGATGGACGCCAAGGTGGCGCGGGGCGACGAGATGTGCCCGAACATAGCTAAGGTGGGACCAACAGGACAGCGCAGCACACATGCAGCAGCGTGTTTGGTCTCTGCAGATGGTGTGTCTGGATTACGAGAGGCTGCAGATCCTGGTGCAGAAGGCCATGTCCGCATATCCGCTGTCCGCGCAACAAGGCATGCTGATGCACATCGCACACCAGAAGCTCATAGACATGGCACACTACCTCCGACTCGAGGTGAGGATGAAGACGCCACGTGCACGCTGCCACTGACATACAGACAGACACACAGACAGACAGACCGACACGCCTGTGTGTTGCGCGCGATGCTGGTTTGACTCAGTCATTGGCCCCTTCACTGCTCACCGTGCCCGAGGCGCTCCTGTATGATCGCATCGGCCCACTGATCGGCACCGAGGCCATCATCGGCGGCCTCGCCCGCGCCCACTCATCCTTCCTGCGGCCCTCCCACGACCCCAACATGCACACCAACATCACATTCACCGCCGACCGCGCCATCGACCCCACCGACAGGCAGCTGGAGGCATGGCGGCCCTCGCTGGCCAAGACCAAGAGTGCAGTGATCGGCTGCCATATGACGGAGGGGATGGTGAAGCTGGTGGAGGGCGCGGGCGAGACGATCGAGAGTCTGACGGCTGACAGCCGCTCGACCGAGGCACACAGGATAGACGTAGTGGAAGTGGTGAGAGAAGAGGAGGCAGTTGTGTTCCCCCGGTTGAAGTCAGTGGTGACGGGCGGGCGGTGGGCGTGGGTGGTGGACCTGCGGGACTGGTGGCCCAAGTCAGTGAAACACCCACCGAAGCAAAGTATACACATGCACCACACACCCTACCTCTTTTGTGTCTTGTGTGCCTCAGGTCACTGGAGGTGGTCGAGGTGCGCAAGCTGAGCACGCAGGAGGAGACGGACCGCGAATTCGAGTTCGAGGAAGTCTATGGGTTCGACGAGGACGAAACAGTTTACGGGCGCTGCTGGGTCAGGCGGCGCATGCATTTCTCCTCCCTCATGCCCTGCGACATCCCCGATGTGCGCGACACCGTCCACACCGTCATCCTGTCGCCCCCATTCGCATGGCACGCGAGTGACGCGATGAATGTCGTCAAGGGCACTGACGTCACGAAGGTGACTTTGTTCGTGTCGGCCGTCGAACACCTAACAGAATGGGCGAGTGCGTTGTGTTGTGTGCTGCGACAGGTGACGAGCTTCAAGATCACAGCCAACGAGGATTTCAACCTGGACGAGTGGATCGACAGCGATGATGAACAAGAAGAGGAGGTGCCGGTGAGGTCCCTCGAGACCATCGAAGCGGCTATCAACGTCAAACAGATCAATTCAGCAACCATACATGTAAGCCACCAACATACGTTTCGCCTCTCATCGATGTGCGTCTGTCTTCTGCCTGCGGTTGGTGACAGGCACTACATACGCTTCGCAAGTACTGTGTGCATCCTGACGCCGAGGCGGACTACAGCAGCAGCACATTCGACTTCGAATTCAGACTCCTTTGGTTCCCCATCGGCGATATCGGCCGGCTGTTCAGCGAGGAGGGCCCCGTATTCGGGTCGTCCACTCTCGTCTTGGCGGCCTCCCTCGCCACATCCGTGACCTTCCCCACCAGACTGGAGCCGTCCTTCGTCATCTTGGCCATCCCGCAGGCCTTCTACTCCCTCCTGCCCAAGCTGGTCTTCAGCTCGGCCCGCACCCTCAACCTCTCATCATCATTTCTCATGGACAGACCCCTGCCACAGCCCCTGCTCTTCCACCTCGGCCGCCTCTTCCCATCCGTGAGGTGCGTCGACTTGGGCAAAGGGCAGCAACTAGGAGAGGAGGCCGTCGTCAAGGTGATAGATGACCTCCCATCGCTCCGCATGGTGCGATTCGCACGGCGGCTCTCCTACCGCGGGCCGTACTTTTTCCTGCCCTCGTGTCTGCGCAAATGCACGGGGGACGGGCCAGCGCTGCACGTCAAGGGCTCATTTCGCTCACGCGTTGATGGTAGTGAGAGTTGGTCGCTGTGGGATGGGGAGGAAGAGGGAGACGAGAGCAGTGAGGACGATATCGATTCGGCGGGCGAGGCAGATGGGGGCAGGAAGGACGGCATTGAGCGTCGCATTCGTCGCATCACTGTGTACTTCTCGGCTGGCTATGCCTCTCAGCCAGAGAAAGACGCAGAAGAGGAGGAATGGATAGACAGAGAGAGGCCGGCCTTTGAGGGTTTGTTCGCCACATGCATCAAGGCCATCACCACACTGCCTAAGCTAGAGCGCATCACCCTCTCCACCGACGACGTGTGTCCGCTCGATTTTCTGCACCAGGGTGGGAGGCATGCCGTAGAGAGTCGGCTGAGCCGTCACGGGTTCGTGGCAGTGCAGACAGGCACGTGTAGGGTCGAGTTGCATCGGGAGGGGCTGCCTGTCACGGAGGGGCAGCGACTGATCACTGACTACTTCCCTCCCCTGTCAGTTGCAGAGAAGGAGATGGACGAGTAGAGTAGATGGAGGTACTGACTGGGTGGGTGGCGTGGCGTGTGAGGTGTGGACAGATGCGAGGTTTGCCTGTACAGATGAGTCTGGGCCACTCACCCATACACGTGATTTCTCGTCATGGATGGATGGATGGATGGATGGATCGCTGCGGTAGTGTGCGTGTACACTGATCGACACATGCGCGCATCTTCATCTTACAACCAACAAAAAGTCAGTTCGAGTGCGTCAGTCAGATCGGCACGGACATGCGAGAACATCGCAAAAACACTGCCTGCATCGCATTCGGGAATCGTCTGTCTGTCTGTCAGTCAGCGTATCTATCTACATGAAAACGCATTTGTCCTGCAGCTGGCTCTTGCTCCACATGCTGCGCTGGTCCTTGAGACGCTCAAACTGAATGACAGACACCACACAAACCACACGCACACGAGTGACGATGAGTACACACATGGAGGGGGGCAGTGCATACGCGGCATATGCATACCTGGGCCGCAAACTGGTTGAGTTGCTCGCTCGTGTACTCCATCTGCAGCACTACTCATACACACACACACACACACACAGAAAGTACAAAGCAGGCCCCATATTCATCCGTCAATCGACGCATCCGTGGGTACCTTCGTCCCTGGTCAGTGCGGCAGCGGCGGGCCCCGAGTGGCAGTGTCGCACGTGCAGCTGCTCGAAGAACAGCAGACACGGCATCATCGCCCCCGTGGCTATCATGTTGGCCACTTTGGTCCAGTCGTCCTCTATCTGCACACACGTACACACACCACGAGCGACACTGTGTCCATCTGTTCTTGCCTGCGTGTCTGCCTGCCAGCCTGCCAGCCTGCTGCTGACTGACCCTGACGCGCGAGTCATCGAAGAGGACCCACTTCTGCATGGCCCATGAGAAGAAGTACGCCACGTAGTGTCGCCCATAGTAGCACACCGCACCCCTGCAAGCAAAGATACGCACACACACACACACCCATCCATCCATCCATCCACAACCACACGGCCCCATTCCCCATTCTCCTCTGCGCACCTGAACACGTGTCTTCTGGCGCCTCTGAGCTGCCCGTCACTGTTGGGCACCGTCCCAGGAGCAACTGGCGGGGGGAACGGGAAATGTGGTGGGGGGCGAGGCGGGGCCATCATGCCGCCGCGGGGAGGCATGTACGGGTGGTAGTGATGCTGCTGATGCGGCGGGTGCTGACACGTCATCATGGTTGGCGGGGCGTAGCGCTGGACCGTCGCCGGGCGGGTGCCTTGAGGGGTGGGCGGGTTGGAGAACACGAACACCTTGTTGATGTCGAGGAACGGGTGGATCAGGCTCAGCACGTCCCATATGTTCTGGGAAGTTGTCTGAGAGAGACGCACGATCGCATCATCAAGCAAGACACACACACACACAGATGCATCAAGCAGGGGTCGTCTTTTGGCCGTCCGTCATGATGCTGTCTTGGTCGCTCACTTTGGTTACCTTGGCTGCCGGCCAGTAGAGGCTGCACACGAACACCTTCGGCCGCTTCATGCAGAAGCGCGTCTTCCGGCCGATCGGAGGCAGCTCACGACGACACGTACTGACCAAGAGACACACACACATACCGATTGATTACACGTGATGCAGCCTTTTCTCCTGTCGTCCGTGTGCTGCTCACTCGCATCGTTTGGCTGGTGGTGGTGCTGCAGGTGCTCGTGTGTCGCCGAAGCGGCTGCCCAAGCCCAAAAAGGTGGACAAGTACGGGTGCAGGCCAGGGCCAGAGCCTCCGGATGGGCCGCTTTGGTCGTTGTCGGGCTGGTCGTCCCTCTGCCAGAGGAAGGCCAGGCACTGCTCCAAGGTCTTCCTTGGCTGTGATGGGTCTTGGGTGCCGGTGTTGGTGTGCGCGAGGCCGAGAAGCTCCGACACTTTGACGCGGTATGTGAAAGTCTGCAGCACATCCGGTTCTGAAGTCTCGCCGCAATGGGGGCAGCGGGAGACGTCCAGCAGCTCAAACCCAAACACTACAGGCAACGCACGGTGAGAAATGCAGATAGATGCTGTGTGGGTGTGGTGTGGTTGCCTCCCTCCCTCCCTCCCTCCCTCACTGACTCACCATTGTGTGCGATGCAAGCCGGGTTGCAGACGGCATCGGCGAGCTGCATGTCCTGCAGACACTCGGTGTAGCTCACACCCGCCACAGACGCACCCTCCTGGTCCAACACCTGAAGGGACGAAAACAGCACAGCACACATGAATAAACAAACGTGTACATCCACGACTGAGTCGTTGTGTGTTTCGCTTCGCCTCGCCACGTAAGTACCTCCATTTTGTGGAAGAGTGTGAGTATGGCCTCGAGTGTCTCGTCGGCGTCCTCCATCTGACACAGCCGAAACCGCTTGTCGAACGAGTGACTCAACGCTGATCGATTAATGGATGGATGGATGGACACAGGACAGGTACATTGACGGAATCATTCCAGCACGTGTGTGTGTGAGTGTGAGTGTGTGTGTGGCTGGCTGCAGCCCTTGCCCACCGCACCTACCAAGTCGCACAGCATCTGGCGGCAGCACCCTGTGTTGGCCGAAGGCATAGTTGGCGAACAGCGACTTGAGAGCACAGTAAACGCAGTACTCGTCAGGTTCCACCAACCCATCCATGGTGGTGAGACCAGCCCTGGTGGTCTCACCACCCACACCACCGCCACCAACACCAACACCGTCACCACCGCCTCCAGCAGCAGTGGCCGCTGCAGCTGCTGCAGCAGCTGCCGGCGGTCCATCCGACCGCCCTGGTGATCCATCAGGGCTGTCCTGCCCCTCTCCATCTTTCTCCGTCCGCGGTGCATTCCCTCCTGTCCGCCGATGGACGTGCTCGCGGGCGGCGAGGAAGGCCTCTCTGAAAGACCTGAGGTTCCACAGCGACTGTATAATGACGTTGAGGAAACAGTGGTTGCTGCCGGCTCTGTTCTCCAGACCCTTGACGACCGGCGGCGCGTCACGGGCAGGGGATGTCGATGCGGGCGGGGCCTGGAGCGGCGGGGGAGCCTGTGATGAGTAGGATGTGTAGATTGGGGGAGGGGGGAGGGGACGGGATGGCAATGACGCTGCGTACTGCGGCGGTGGCAGTCGAGCAGCAGTCGGACTGCCGTGCGGGGAGAGGCCGTGCGTGTACATGAGTGACGCTGCTGAAACTCGTCAAGCTGTCACCGTTGGTCTTGGATCCCTCATCTCTGGTGGTGGTTTTTCTCCTCTTCAGCCAAGCTCGCAATCGGGTTTAAGCTCGCAAAAGAACGGAGGAGTCGATTTGATTCCTTTGCCGTTTGGAAGCATTGAGTGTACGTGCCGCAAGACTGAAGGTCCGCATCTATTGAATCTTGTCAAATCAAGGCTCAGAAATCCGGCCATGGGAAGCAAGAAGACAGGCGTGTCCTTGGGAATGTTGCTCAACGTGGTGTGCGACTCGGTGGTCTTCGCCATCGACATCTGGTGGTTCGTCAAGATCCTTACGTAAAGCGGACGACATAAGAGATAAGACACGAAATTCACTCATGGATGGTTGCTTGCTCGTCTGACCCACAGGTTTCACCTGCCCGTCAAGGGCATCCTCGATGGCGGTCTGGGGCCTTGGACGTTTCTGACAGTCTGGGGAATGACTGCGCATCTCTTGTACCACTGCGTGTGCCTGGCGTCCCTCGGGGCCGCCTCCCTGCGCAAGACCCGTGACGGCATGTTCGTCATCACCCTGACGATCGAGGCCGTCGTCACATGCCTCTTCTACGGCATCCAATTGGCCACGGCCGGCAAGGGAGTGGCGCCTGGTGAGCGATATATGCCGTCTTCTCTATGTGTTTGGGCAATCTATCTGTCTGTGTGTCTGTGTGTGTGTGTCTGTGTAGAGGATTATCTGGTGGAACGTCCTTTCCACAACCACTGGGGCCATGCGGGTGTGACGGCGGTGCTCCTGACGCACATGGTTGTGCTCAAGCGCGACCTGCACGTGCACATGCCGTCGGCCTCTGCGCACAGCAAACAGGCTGTGGTGGTCATCGGGGGGTATCTCTCTGTCGCGCTCTTGTCCCGGTGGATCATCAACGGCCACTGGCCCTACCCCATCATGACTGTACTCGAGCACAAGACGCCTTACGCAGCTGGACTGATCTTGCTCATTGCTGGTATGTATGTGTCTGTCGGGGTGGGTGGGTGGGCACCATACAATTACGAGTTTCCCATCTCTCTCCCTCTGTGTGTGTGTGTGTGATTGTGTGACGACAGGTACTGTGTTGAGTACGGTGATGCTGACGCAGCTGTTCCGGTGGCTGGTGTTGCTGGTGCAGCAGGAGCGGCTCCCTGCCGCCGGGGCGAGGCTGGCCGAGCAGGAGCCTCTCGTGGCTAAGGCAAAGGCAGGGTAGGTAGCCACATGGAGGATTGGATCGGCTCACTGCTGCTCAATGATGGATGGATGGAGAATGGCAAATGTTTGAGCACAAAGGTGCGGCGGCGTCTTTTTGGTCGTTCGGCTGGGCTAGCTACGCTACCTTACCTTGCTCTCTCTCTCTCCATTATCCTTATTTCATCCTTTTTCGTGGCTCTCACTGTGCAGACAGACAGACAGACAGACAGACAGACAATGAATTCACTATTAGTGTTTGGCGGCATGGGCAATGGACGGACGGACGCGTCGATGAATGAACACATGGTTTTGCAGCAGCGGGTCTCCCCATACAATCGTCAACGTCTGTATGTCACCCAATCACCAAGTTGGTATCCAAAGCTGGCTGGCCAATCCAATCCAATCCACACACATCCACACACACACACCCATCCAGGCATCCAGGCAGGCAGGCATACTCAGGCACAGAGCCACCATCATCATCATAGCTCATGGCGTCCAACCATGCCTTGCTTGTTGTTGACAAATAGCATGACGCTCTCCTCTCTGTCCCGCCCGCCCCTAATGGTCTATACCGGTTGCCGAGCATGCTTGCCTTGTCTGATTGGCTGGCTGGCTGTGGCTCGCCGGTCTCCTTCCTCCTTATCTCTCCTTATCTCTCTGTCTCCCCCTCTCTCTGTCTGGATCATGTGTGTGGATCATGTGTGTGTGTCTGCAGCTGCTGCATCGGTAGGTCTGTAACCGAATTGCAATGCATCGACTGCAGTGAGTGAGTGAGGGAGTCAGCGAGTCAGTCAGCAAGTCGTGAGGCAGTGAGTGGGTCACAAATATATATGCCGTGTCAACGCATTCATTGAACGCATCCACCATCCATCCATCCAGTGAGGCGTGACAAACACCATACTCACACACACACACACACACTCTCACACACAGCACGCACACGCACAGCAAGGGCAAGAGCAACGGCAGGACACCACCACCACTACACGCACCTAGGAGCAGTAAGCAGCGACAGACAAGTACGTGATAAGAAGACGGCGACACCCAGCCAGACGGAGAGACAGACGGACGGGACGGACGGTCAGGCGGGCAGGCAGACACACCACAGGCCGAGACACGGATCATAAACAAAAGAAAGGATGGAACTGTTTCCTCTGTCTGTGCAGACAGGCAGGGGCAGCAGCCAGGCTTTGCTTGGATAGATATGCCATCTGACGATCGTTGCCTTGATATATCCCTCCCCCTGAGCCCGTCTGCCCGCCCGTCTGCCAGCCTGCCTGCCTGCCTGCCTTGGAAAGCACCAGCCATCATCATCAAAATGCCAAAAGGAACAAAACGCTACGGACCAACATGGATGGACACACACGCCATTAGCACAGACCAGCCCTGCATTCCATCCATCCCGACAGGTGGACTGCCAGCCGAATTTCGGTCTATGGTAAGGCGTGTGGTGTGTGTGTCTTGTGTGTGTGTGTGTGTGTGTGTGTCAGGTGTATGTGTCGGTAGGTTCCATCCATCCACCCCACCCCACCGTCATTTCTTCTTGAGGGTGGTAGTGAGCGGCGTCGGGTTGGAGTCGTCTTTGAGCCAGGGGTGCGAGAGGGCCTCGATGGCCGTGATGCGATGCTCCGGACACAACGTCAGCAACCTGACCATCCGCACCACACAGACAGAAAGGTGTACAGGTGCGTGTGCCGCCCCATTCGCCCACACACATACACACACAGGTGTACCTAACGATTAGGTCGACCCCCTGCGAGTCGTGTTTGAGTGGCGTGTCGGCGAACAGTCCGTTCCGCAGGTGCGCACGCACGTCGGGACGCCGCCACTGGGGAAACTCATCCTAACAACACAGAGAGAGACATCCATCCATCCATCCATCCATGTATGTGTGTTGATTTAAGAGGGGGTGTGAAGGTGCCGACTGACCGTTTACCTTATATTCGTTGAAACTCTCGACGCCCGGCCATGTGGCGTTGGTCGGGGTGCCCAAGAGCTCGAAGATCTTATACAACCTGCACACGCACACACACACACACGCACGCACGCACACGTGACTCTTTCCCCCTCCCCCCACCCATCCATCCACCCATTCCATGCACTCCTCACGTGTGTATCTCAGAGTCGCCTGGGAATATGGGTTGTTTGACGCACATCTCGGCCACCACACACCCCACCGCCCAGACGTCGATAGCGAATGACGGCGCGCCCCTGAGCAGCAGCTCGGGCGCACGGTACCAGAGCGACACCACGTCGTGTGTGCCGGGGTGGCTCGGCGACACGTGGCAACGCGCTAACCCGAAATCACCTACCTGCAGGGCAGCCAAACAAAGAAACGAAAGACAACAGACAGAGGCAGAATGAATGGGCAAAGGAAAGTAAGTAAAGTGTGTGGCTGATGCGATGTGATGTGTCCTGTCTGTGTTGTGTTGTTGCCTTGAGGTCCCCGCTGGAGTCGAGGAGTAGGTTCTGTGGCTTCAGATCACGGTGAACGATGTAGTTCATGTGCCTGACACACATGACACACACATCCACACATCCATCCATCCACCATCCGCCATCTCTCTCCCCATCCGCCCACCCAGCCCCCCGCCCATCCCGTGCGCCCTTCATGCGCTGCGTACATGTATGCCAGTGCCGAGAGGACCTGCCTTGCGTATTTCTTGATGGCTGTGATGGTGAGGTTGCCGGGCTTCTTGATCTCCCTCCGCAGGTCCCCCCTGTTGCAGTACTCGAGCACCATCCGCAGCTCCTTGGCGTCGGCCTCCAACTCAGTGCAACGCACGATATTCGGATGACGCAGCGCCCGCAGCAATATCAACTCGCGAATCGCCGTGTTCGTCACCTGCAGGTCAGGGCACACACACATCCACACAGCCACACAGCCACAGATGCGATGCATGCAACGCACAGATGGACAGATATCCCTCCCAGCGCACCCCGTTTTGCTTGCCCTCATCGTCTTCGAGCTGTATGGTCTTCAAAGCGACCTTCTTGCCGGTGCTGAGCTCCGTTGCGATGCGCACCGTGCCGTACGTTCCCGCGCCCAAAGTGACGCCCTCGCGGAACTTAGTGGGCAGCGCCTCGGCCACCGGCGCCACGTTGACATGCCTGACCGTATGGGCACTGCAGTGAGGGTAGATGGAGCACGGAGAAGGGCGTAGCATCTATGTTAGGGTGCTGAGGCCTCCTGGCGGCCGGGGGTGGGCGGGGAGGTCTCCCGTGTCCCTCAGGCTGCATACATGGTCAAGGAGGGGCATATATCACGCCCTCGAAGGGCCCAAAAGGAAAATCAGGCACTCGAGGAAAGTTGTGTTTACGGTGGGAGTCGCTCCCCTGTGTTTGGCATGGTTTTTGGACACCGAGATGGAGCGTGTGTAGGGTTGGACACTGCTGGCCGCATGCAGTTTGTTCACAGAAGGCATCCTATGCACAGTCCCCTGCCACAGAAACCACCCACGACACACGACTGCCAGTCTGCCTGGCTGCCGATTGCGCGGCTCAGCAATCATCTCTTCACAACGAGCAGGGCCTGGTGGACCCGCCACATGGACTCACCCTCGACGCACTCAGGAAACGCCTGACAGACACATACAGACAGAGAGACCAACGTGTCGGGGCCTGTGTGTCAGTGCGCACGGGCGAGCGCGCGTACCTCCACGATCTTCCTCATCTCCTGCTGTGACCCGTCGGCAAAGTAGAAGAGCGAGCCGCCCGGTGCAGTGTCCCACAGCTGCGACAGGAAGGTGCGCCACGACTGGCTCTCGAACAACACGAAACTGACACACATACAAACACACATACACACACACACAGCACGCATCAGCCAGCCAGGCATGTGGTGTGGTGCGATTGCCTGGTGGCACAGACGAGGTGCACCTGAAGAGGAAGAGGGACGGCCCCGTCGCCGATTCGCACACCTCCCTCAGCTCCCTATTCACACACGGCTCTTCAGTCCCCCCAAGCAACGCCTCACACACGTCACACAAGCCGAAGAGAATCTGCCAGCCGCTCACTTCAGCCACACGGTCAACAATCGCCCGCCACTCCTCCACCAGATCGAACACGTACAGTGACACACAGCCATTGGAAGACGGTGGCGGTTGGCCGATCATTAGCTCCCAGAAGAGAATGAAGCCGTACACGTCATTCCCTGGCCCGCCGCCGATCGACACCACCAGGAGTACAGGCGCGGCATGGTTGTCACCAGCCGGATGATCAGAAGAGGCGGGCGGTGGGAGGGGCATGGGCAGAGAGAGGGAGAGGGCCGTGCGGAGGGTCTGAAACACCAGGAGGCTCCTCTCAGTGAACTTGAGGGCCGTGTAGCCATAAAGGGTCGACAGATCGGCGAAGTCCTGCACACACACACACACATACGTGGTGGGAAAAGGTCCCTCCGTCTGAGGGCCTCCGTTCGTTTGGCACCTCTTTCCGTTGCGAGGCCTGCTTCATCTTGTGCATGAGGCGGATGGCCCTCTCCTTGGCGCCATGAGGGTCGCTCTTATAGACAGGATGGTCCAGCAGCTCCTGCATCAAGGGCGCCATTCTGTGCTGCACGACATGCCCGTACAGCCGCCACGCCGACGTGTTGCCACTCAGACCCATCGCAGACGGCACCTCTCGCAGAAGGCGGTGCAGCGAGTAGTGACGAGCAGCCGACAGTTGTGTCCTCAGGTTGGCCAGCCGAACGCATAGCTCGTCCGATTCCAGCTCCATTAGCGATGGCAGGCAGCCGAAGAGCTGAGCAGCATCGTCGGTGCAGAATGTTGTTGCTGCCGCAGCGGCACCTTCTGTGTTGATTGCAGAAGTCCAGGATTGCAGCAGGTGAGTCAGTCGGGCTGTGTCTGCCAGGTGAGGCCGCTCGCTGATGTAGCGGAGGATGCGCCCCAGACGGCGCCCGGAGAGGCTGCGCGAACGAAAGAGCTCCTCAACATCCATCGCCTGTTGGCATCTTGAAAGCTCGCCTGCGAGCTTAGCTTGGGGACCTCCCTTTGGCCTCACGAATCTCCCGCGTGTTGAGGGGCCTTCCCCTGATCTGTTGAGATGGATGCCGTCTCATCGGGGCATCTCTGATTTTGCGTGAGTGAGTCAGAGGACTCGGGAGTGCAGCGCTCCGCGTCAGTCGTCATGACGGAGGGCGGCAAGAAGAAGAGTCCGAAGCGATTTGTCTTGTACCGCAAGATCCGCAGCCCGCTGAGGCGGCTCGACGTGTGGCCATTCATATTCCTCTACGCCTGCCTCGGCGCATGGCTGGTAGACAACACGCCAAGATACATACGTCAAGCTTGACACACAGAGGGCCTCCATGCAGCTCGATGCGTCTGTTGTCTGTCGTCTGTGTGTGTCATTGCGTAGCTATATTCACTCGAGAGGCTGCCGCCATCGCCTGTGGTGGTCTCTTCTACAGCTGCCGCTGACACCCTCGCCAATGCCACCACAGCCAACCTCACAGACGAGCAGCCACTCACGGCAGACGCAGCAGCAGCCGCAACGGAGAAAATGCCACAACAAGAAGGAGGAAGATTACTCGGACGAGAGAGCAATGACACTTCAGCGGCGGCAGCTGGTGGTGGGCAGAATGCCACTGAGAGCGGGAGGGAGAGCGGTGGCGGGGTCGGCGATTTGAGCCAGACGATAGTGCAGGAGATCTGCCTACTGGTGGCCATACTGCTGCATGCCCTCACCCACCTCTCCACACACTGGTCGGTCCACGCCAACGCCCTCATCGCATTCAGAAAGGTGAACGAGCCCAGCACAACACAACCGCAGCAGAGAGAGAATGCGCCACGAGCACTCCTCTCGCTCTCTGGATCATTCTGTTGGTGCGCGTGTGTGTGTGCGGTGCAGGTGCGGCGCATTGAGTCTGCGACGCACGTCAAGGTGTGTCCGTCGAAGCCCATGTACAAGACACTGCTCTGCCCCATCGAAGACTCACACGTACACATCACACAACACACAAGCCGCCTGGCACAGCCGCGGCGTAGCGTGTGTACTCGGCCTGTCTGTCTGTGTGTGTGCATCCTTTCATCAGGATGGCGTGTCGATCTTGTATCAGAAGAAGCGCCTGTTCTACACCCCCGACGCACACGAGTTCCACTCCATCGCCTTCCCTGTCAACATGGCCATACCGGTATGTAGGTATGGGTGGGTGCCGACATACCGTACGCCGACCGACAGACGCCATGCATGGGCTACTGCATCTGTGTGATGTGTGTGTGTTGGGGGGATCAGTCTTACTTCACGACGAGTGGGCTGTCGGGCAGCCTGGAGCCGCTGCAGAGGAAATACGGCATCAACAAGTACACGGGCACCCTCATACACACACGTGCATTCGTAGGCACATGTTTGTATCGTCTGTATGTTCTTCTTCATGTGTACGTGTGTGTGTGGCCACAAGCTACGACATCCCGATCCCCGAGTTTTGGGAGCTGTTCAAGGAGCACATTGTGGCGCCCTTCTTTGTCTTCCAGTTCGTCTGTGTCGTCCTGTGGCTCCTGGACGAATACTGGTCAGACAGTACAGTCAGGGAGGGAGGGAGGGAGGGGGG